AAAAAAAAAAAAAGAGTAGCAGAAATGAGAATGTTAAGATGAATGTATGATCATACAAGAAAGGGTGGGATACAAATGATCATATGCAAGGATATTAGTATGACACAAATTGAGGAAAAGATGATAGAAAATTGGTTAAGTGGATTGGACATGTGCAAAGAAGGACATTGGAAACATGGGGAAGACAGAGACCAAATAAGACATTGGAAGAAATTGATCAGAGGGATCACATGGTAAATAATATCCTGAGAATTTGACCTTTGACCGAGAACAATGACGACGTGTGATCTTTGTAGCTAACTTCACCTAGTGGGATAAGGCTTTTGTTGTTGTTGTTACATTAACATTAGATGTTAGACATAACTGTTGACTTTGAACCTGATAAAGGATTGTTCAGTGTGAAAAGAACATCCAGAAGGCCTTATGTAGTTACACGCACTTGAAATGATGTAAGGTAGAGTAACAATGTGACGCCTATATCACAAATCAAAATTAACCGATAGCAACCATTTCTTCAATAAATGAAACTAGTATCCTAAGATTACTGTTAACTTCTCTTGTTACACACAACTCAATTCATAGCTCATTTCTTAAAATATATCTACACTTACAGGAAAAAGTTGCAGGACGACCCATGTAAAAAACAGAGTGCCTAGAAGAGAAGATAGATCAAGTCTAAAATTTGACTCAGGCTTTGGCATTTCCTTTACAAACTCAAATAACACCTTGGTTCCAGGTCCAAGCAGAAACTGCAGGTAGGAATTTGATATCTGCATGCATATAGATAACGTCAGTCCTCTTCATAATCTGTCGAGGACAGATAAATCAAGACCAAAATACTATTAAAATAAAAAATGGGAAAATGTATATTAATTGAAATTATTATCATTATATTAGCTTAGTAAAATTTACTTATGCAATCAATTTTGAAATTTGCAATACAGTATACTGCATGTGCATCATAAGCATAGTTTCACTTCTGTTCAAATCATGCATTTGAAAGCAAGTTATTTTCTTTAGAAAGTCTGTAGATACTTAGTACATATGTATTCCATCAATAATGAATTGGGTATGTGTTTTGGTTTTAAAGTTAATACTACAATATTAAAAAAATAAAAAATAAAAAATTGATAGACTCATTGTACAGGCTAGCAAATAGCACGTTTTTTATTTTTTCATTATGATGTATCCATGGTTAGGATACCAGCAAGGAGGAAGCAACAATTAAAACGAGTTTTAGATATATGTATATATATATATATACCAGATTTATAGAGCGAGGAATCCTCAATAACACATTTGTGTGTCTGCCGTATGTTGAGTTGTACCATATACTGACATTATATCTATTCTCGTTTGAATTTAGAAAATCAAAAGCTGCCAAAACAAATAAAAATAAGTATTGGCTTCCAAACATTGCGTGAATTGAAAGGTAATGATATTAAGTACCTGAAACTATCTCATTGACTTGTCCTTCTGTGTTACCTCCATAATAACCTTTATATAGCTCACTGTTGATCTCAGAAGAACTATTGCGCCATAAATTTAGAGCCTGAGCACATTTGAGTTCGACCTCTAAATTCAAGGAAAATAAACTCAATTGGTAACAATACTCTTTATGTCAGATTCAGGCCCAAGTCATATCTAGAGAGAAACAAGATTGTGTATGTAAAATACTAGTGTACTCCATACAAAATTATTCAAATAATTTATGTGTGCATTTATTGGCCAAAACTGACCATAAGATCATTATCATTGAGCAAGTGATTCAAATGCATCACGAAGGCTGCACTTATGGTTTTATGCTAAACCTTGTACCTTATCTTTTATTACATCCATCCCATTTCATGGTTCCCCAAGCTTTTTAAAAACATGAATGAACATTTAAGTTCAAGTCGAATAGCAACACGAATAGAAAAGCAAAACCCCCCGCCCCAAAAACAGTGTAAAAGAAAGTTTTGTAAACGGCATAATGAGCCTGCAGCAAAATATTCTCTGACAATCTGTCATTTTCAACCAGTCATCATGAAGCATACACCAAACTATCAAAATCATACGAACATTTGGTCATGAACACATCTAGGATACCTGTGTCTAACACTTCGTGGGAACCATCAAGAATGGCACAACGGATTGCCAATTTTCATTATAAAATAGCCATGAGGTGGCATAGCAATGCCTACTGACTCAATTTCCTGTTATCAGATTTTTCAAGGTACATTGTCAATATAAGGATGTTCCATACCATTGTCTGCTATCGGCAAGGAGAGTCCAAACTTCTCCGCATCAGAGCAATTTCTTTGTAGATAATAAATTGGAAGACCCGTAGAGAAAGCAGGTTCAATAAAATTGTTTTGCCCAGGCGCTGAATCAGATCCCTATATTTTAACACCAGCAACAAAGTTAACAAAAACAGAAAAAAAAATACAAAAATATATGCAACAACATCCGATTACAAGACTTTAGGAGCTTATACGCACAACCTTAGGAGCTTTTGGCTTTGTTCTCCCATCAAAATTGGAGTTTCACCTCTTTAACCAATGTTGACAGTTAATGCAAACATTTATTACACAGGTTAAGGAGGTAAAACTCCAACTATAGTCGAAATAACACAAAAAACACATCCTATTACACATGTCTTTTTTTTGTGTGTGCATGGACATGGCAGTATTCTAAAGCTGACAACCAATGACTTATTTGAGTTCACGGGCGATAATTCTATCAATCAAACATTATTTTAACATTATGAAAATCAATCCTCAAGAGCATTAGGTAAACTCCATAACCCAGGTGTCCGGACAAGCCTTACAACCACATTGGGCCAAGAGGTAGCATAAATATGTATTAAACTCTAAAATTAAATAAGAATGAAGCATGCAAAACCTCACCAGTACATTCATCGCCGAGGTCGCATAAATATCCCTATCATAGTAGTCACTCATAGACAAGGCACTCCCAAACATACTTGCAGTCACGGCTGCAGAAAGAAACAAAACCAAAAAAAAGAGGCAAAATCATGTGATGAAGCAATGCAAAGACATGCGAGAATGGATGAATCCACGTTACGTTACGCCATAATACTTTGTGCAAGGGAGTGATTCTCTGCGGTGAAGAGCATAGTAAGGGGACAGGAATCGGTTATCCGGCAGGAGGCATCGGGGAAATCCGAAAAGGGAAGAGAAGCGGTTCGCACGGCCCGGTTGGAAGGCTCCGGAAGCTGCAAGAGCGGTGGCCACTGAGGCGGTTTCGGAATGGCACACAGGGCGGCCTGAAGGAGATCCGAATACTGTATCCCGCACACCTTCTCCGAGTCGGCGCAGCGAGTGCGGTTGTTTCTGCAGACGCAGCCGCACTTGAACTCGGGCTTGTCGAATTGCGTGTCGATTACGCATTGGAGCGCGAACACCAGCAAGCAGAGGATGACCGGGAAGAGCACCAGCTGAACGTTGGTTTTGACGTTCCGTTTCTTCGAAAAGAAAGAAAATTAAACGGCGTGGCGTAAGCGATAGTGTGATTGAAAGGGAAAGA